AGATTCAGAGGAGATCTTTGAGATTCGGCGGGAGTCTTAAGCCTTAGATCTTAGGTCTTAGTTTTACTTTTGAGACACCCAGCAGATTCGGCGGGAGTCTTAATTAAGCCTTAGATCTTAGGTCTTAGTTTTAATTTTGAGACACCCAGCAGCTACAGCGGACCATTTCAGCCTCCGTGTCGTACAAAAATAGGAAATAGCGCTTGAAACTGAATCGGCGAAATGGAGTTCTGTGTAATAATGTAACGATCGTCCTGGTCTACTCTTGCAACATATCCTAACATCAATAGGGACAGGTGTTGCCAAAAATTTCCCGGCATAGCTCCAGTCACTCCGGAAACGAAACACTCAGTTCGCTGTCTACTGTCACACCGTCGCTGAAATAAATATATTATAATGAATTCGTGCTTTCAATCACTGATCCGACATTGAAAAACAAACCACAAAAAGGAAAATTAAAATATTGACTGGCCAATTCAATGATTGATGTGAGCATTTAATGAAAATAGGCGGAAGTTTTCTCAGTCTTAGCAACCTGCTAGGATTACAGAACGCGTGACTTACCCGTAACGACCCGTGACAGTCAAGAACTGATGAATCCATGACGGGCTTTGCCAACGCCTCTGTGCAAAAAAGAATGGAAACAGCTCATCAAATTCTTGTACATCTTGAATTTGCTAGAGTTTTGCGCGTTCTTGTTCACTGATCTGGCCCTCAGTTCATGACAATCTCAGTGGCCAGTCTTCCTTTGTGGGGGCTCCTTTGTGGTCCCCCACCAGGCGTTTTTCAACCTGTTTGTTCAGCCCATTCTCCCCGCGACTCGCTTCCGTCGAAGAAACAACGCCAGTCATAGAATTTCCCCTCGTGTTTCAACGAGAAAAGCTATGGCAAATTCCATCTTGGTTTCTCTGGGAATTCTCATCACCTTTCCCTTAGCTCTTTGTTCAAGATCTGCGCTGATCGTCAACACAACTTATGGCCCTGTTCGCGGGGAAGCCATTGTTTTGAACACGAACAAGACCCTTGTCCGATATCTTGGGATACCGTTTGCCCAAGCAAATAGATTTGAAGCTCCTAAATCGCCCAAGCCGTGGACAAGTACTGTGAACGCAACCTCGTTCGGCAAGTGGTGTCCGCAAAACCCTAGCGTGATTATGAACTCCACAAAGGACATAGATGAACAATGCCTCACTATCAATGTCTTTCTTCCTGAAGACAAAGCCAAACAAAATCCTGCTCTTTTGCCTGTCATGTTATGGATATATGGTGGTGGATTTTCCACGGGAGGATCTGCAGCAGGACTATATAATGGTGGTTATCTTGCCACCGAGGGTGAGGTGATGGTCGTTACTTTCAACTACCGTGTTGGTGTGCTGGGGTTCTTGTCCACTGGAACAGAAGAGATACCCGGAAACTTTGGGCTCTTGGATCAAGTGGAGGCTATGCGCTGGGTACAGAAGAACATTAAGAGGTGAAGATTTTTTTTTTACATTTTACTGTATAAATTACAAACGCAAATCCGTATAAAGGACATCTAGATAGAATACAACAAATGTGACCTTCCGTTGTTCACGAGGCACAAAATTAATGTCACTTGAAATAAAAGCTCTGCTGGGGGAGTGGGGCTAGTGACAAGATTAGCACTCCTGCCCGGGCCTATAAGCGTCTTAAGGGGGCCATGCACGTTGTACTACATATTGGCTATTGACTAAGCATGTGGTCAAGATGGCTGGACATTGCTGACGATGTGCTGCGTGTTTACG